GTACCTGCTGCGTGTCACGGCTCTAGTGGTCGCCCAAGTCGACCATTGTGGTAAAAGAGAGAAAGAGAGAGAGAGAGAGAGAGAGAGAGGGAGAGAATAAACATTTTTCGTACATAAATGTCGTCCCGTTAACGCGACGTCTTTATCCTTTTGTATCTGGAAGCAGGACGACGGCGGCGCTTTATCGATTGGATGGAATAAGCAAGTGAGAGAGGTAAGTTTCGGTGTTTTCCACGCCGCCGATCCCCGACTCGATCGATATCTGTCGAGAATACCGGCAAGAATGAATTCGATAACGCAAATATTCATAGCGCGATATCGTATCCTCTGGTATCCTCTCACGAGAATACGTACGCGCGTACACATGGTACTCTAGCGCGATATACCGCTGGATACTCGCTCCTTGTCAGCCATACCAGTCGAGAGTCACTCACGAGGAGAGCGCTTGAGACAGTGCAGAAGGCCTGTGGCTTCTCTCCTCTCGCTTCTTTCTCTTATCCTTCACCTTAGGTGACGTCTCGCGGCGTTAATCGTTTTTCTATCCGTCGCGGATAACTTTCGGAGCGGCGCGCGCAACAACCGCAACGAAAAATCCTCTCGCCGGGAAATCCCAATCCGTTCCAAGACCTCAAGAGGAATCTGTCGAGTGGCTTCGTAACCTCGAGTGGTAGAAATGAACGAAACTGTGACAAGTCGAATAACGCCAGAGATTGCAAACAGGAGGGCGCTCACGTTCCGCTCACGCGTGGCGAGCACGATCCTGCGCGCGCATGCACCGCGTCGAACTTGAAGGACTAACGGAGAATTCAAGATGCAACAATATATACAGGTCGTTGATTGAAACTCATCCCGAAGCCATGAATGTTCCATCGCGTGACTGTGCTGATACGCAAAGAGTAAGGCACGAATTTCCAGTCGACGCCGCGCCGGGGCGACTAAAGACGCCCCTTCGATGGATTCGTCCGCTTATCTCGCGCGTAGTGAAACGCGCAATTACGTTAATTACGTTAATGTATCATCGACGTTGCTAAGTAAGCGCCGTAGAGAGAAAACGCTCCGCGCAGAAAACCGTGGAGAAGAAAGAAACGCGGGACGGAAGACGTGAGGAGGACCGTCTTTCAGACGGCGTCTTCCCATATCTACCATCGACGTTGGACGAAGAAGACGACGACGACGCGGCGCGGCTGCGGTAAATTCAAGACCTATAAAACGTACAAACAGACGAACTTCTTTCCGAGAAGAAGCTACCGTCGAGCCGCCACAGCGTATCGCGGATCACTCGCTGCCAAATGCCAATTATCTTTACTCGCCGCTGGCAATTAAGACGTGCCGCGCGCTCGGACGTCACTCCGAGGGGAGAAAAGGCGGTATCGGCCGCCAAGGGACGAAAAAGTTACACTCGAATTTCGTCGAAACGAGGTCGCGAGTGAACGAGAGAACGTGCCGACTGGTACGTATTAATCAGAGGTACAATAGTTGGTCGTATTTATAATTGAAGCATATTTTATTATTTGATGACGGCCATCTCCAAGTAATCTCTACGAGGAAGCTCTGTGAGAGCTTGAAGAAATATTCGCGTGTAGAAGCCCTAAGAAACCATTTATCACACACACACACACACACACACACACACGTGTAAATCCAGTTTCTTTTATTGATTTATTAATTATTTTTTTTTATTTTATTAATTTTATATATCATATAGCATTACGATATGTTGCATCCAAAGACAATTAGGAGCAAAAGTCCATTTAAATATGGACTGAATGTTTTCTTCCATCGCTTCACTCATACATTTCTCATTCAAACGGCGAAAAAATCCAACGTCCGTTCTTCAAATTTCTTACGTATACAAAATATAAAATTTCCGGCGAATGAAAAATTTGGATTTTTCAGAGATTTGTATCGGGAAGATACAATGAGCGAGGAAGCGAGGAGCATTCTTCAAAAAAAGAATTACGTTCAAGGAGATTTCAAATGAAACAAGAATATTATATTTGAACATTTAACTTTTCGTCGGGCAAATGTTTAACATAATTTCTAGATCTATGAGAGCAATGAGACATGAACTTTACCTAAGAAGAAAGTCTCAATGTTCCGTCGATCAAATTTGCATGTTCGGCATCCCCTTGATGTACGAAATACGAGAAATTTGTATCGATCATCTGTGTCGCGCATACTAAAGCCTAATAAAATGTACGACATATCGGGCAAGTCCGTTCCACTGCCCCCTCCACAATCGTGCTGCCGAGATTAAAATTCCTGTAGGCGCAACCCTTTGGTCCTTATCGGGGTAGACTTGTATCGGCATTTATGTACCTAGGTGCGTGGTCGATATCGATATCTATCGCATAATTACCATGGTAACGTCACGATAAAACGCTACTCGTATTTGACTTGCTATTAACCGTCCGCGGCGCGTAAACCTCTCTATGGGTATGCAGTCCCGACTAGTTTCACACGTGGTGATCTGCTTAATGTGTACCGAAAGAGCGACCGATTAGATTGCCCGATGACGATCGGCTTCTCACCTTTCCGTTCCGCTGGCAGCCGAAAAGAACTGTCGTTTCTTTTTCGGCGGCTAGCGCGGCCGAATTCAATCGACAACTTCGACGCGCGTGCGCGCGACTCGAGACGCGCGTTATCGTTTATCTTCGCAGCAATCTACAGTGATTTTTCAAACGGCCTAATTGCCACGCTATTAAGATTACCGCGCTAATTAGAGTAATAACCGCGGCAGCTGATAAAGTTGCTCGGTCTTTTCTTATCTATCATATATGCACAGACACATATAGCATATAGCAGGGAAGATTCATCGAATATTCATCGAGTGACTTTCGAGTCGAGTCTAAATCTCTTACGCTTACGAGATACCGGAATTTCCACTCGACGTCGACGAAACCGGACGATCGGTTGTCCCGAAAGGTACACTCGCGCCTTCAGTCCGGTCCGTCTCGCGGCGAAAACAGTCGCTTGGAACTTTGGACGAAACATCGAGAGCTTTTCCGCTGTAATCCCTCGTTAAATAGTCTTCGAGCGTGGCACGAGGCGAGATTTCGATGAATGGATAGTAAGAAGCATAAGGCGATAACGCGGCGAGGGCGCAATCTGAACAGCTGTAAGGCTTTACAACTCTTTATTCCCCGTTGCGCTGAATGGCCGAACTGTCGAAAATTTTATCGATACCATCGAGCCTGCTCAAACATTTGTTCGCCGTGCGTAATGTCAACGCACTCTGTCCGAGGTCGTATCCCCGCACGAGGCGAATGTCTTTTATTCGAGAGAGAGAGAGAGAGAGAGAGAGAAAGAGGGAAAACAGCACACCTCGTAACTATATTTTGTCGAAATATTTAGCTAAGAAAATGTATCGTCGACTGGCTTGAGAATGATGTACGAACTTTGCGTATCGGACAAATGAAATCAGGCCGTTCTTAGAAACTTGGACACGCCGAAGAAAATCGATTGTCTGCATGTTCCGTGTCAACAATTATTTTCATATTTCTGTCAACGACTTATCGGCTTATTAAGACCATCGTCGGAACGGGGAAGATACGGGGGAGATTAACGAGGATGTTTCCAAGACCTCCAGGGAGGAGCACCCGGAAGTCGCTCGGCGTCGGAGAACGCTCGCGCGTTCTCGCTTCGGCAAATGGAGTGTACGCGAGGAAATTGAAATAGATAAAACGTAAGTAGCGGCTCTTTTTTCCGACACCCACCGGGCGATTTGAATGGACGGTATTGCGACGAGCTTGCGTCACGATTGTTTCCCGTGTGCTCTGCACATTGTCCTTTCCACGGAATCCTATCGCACGCCGGGGTCAAAGGATCAAGCCCAGGTTCAATTTTCGTCGCTCGATCGTTCCGTGGTGATTATTCTTCCGTCGGCCGTTCGTTCGTTCGCCGTTGCGTCGTCGCCGCGCTGCTCCATCGAAATCACGATGACTGACAACGATACGGGGGAGGGAAGAAATCGTGCACGATGATACGGCGAGATGGAAGAGCTGACTCTCGTCAACTCGCTCGGTCTTCTGTCTCTCCGACGACGACGACGACGACGAAGGGGAAAAAAGCGTCGGCTCGACGGCGATCTAACAGAATCCCATCGGTAGTTGCCGAGTTATTTTTATCACGGGGCCGTGCGCGCCGTATTTATCGAGCGCGCAAATCGACTCGGATCATTTTGTACGACTGAGAGTCAAATCGAATCCGACGCGTAGCACACAGCGAGCATGACGCATACAAATCAATGCCGAGCTCACGAAATCTCGAAGGAAGAAAAAGAAAAAGGAATCTAAGTAACGCACTTGAGCGAGTCCGCCGACTCACACGTGTCAGAAGTCTTACACGCGCACGCCCAGCAGCGGCGATGCCGCCGTTTACACGTGCGCCTCCTCTCCTTTTAATCTCTCGAGCGCGGATAAGTGGCATAAAAGTCGCGACATTCCCACGTTCCACGCTGGACGGATTTCGATAAGCCCTGTTTGCCCAACGGCGACCCGGAGAGAGAGAGAGAGAGAGAGAGAGAGCGAGAGCGAGAGCGAGAGAGAGAGAGAGAGAGAGAGCGAGAGAGAGAGAGAGAGTGTGAGTGGTCCATTCGCGGCGTTTTCGGGCCGTTAAAAGAGGGAAGTAAAGGGCTACACAAATATTTGAGGCGGGTCGTTACCTACGCGTGTGACCTAGTCCGCGTGCTATTTCGCTCTCCGCCACGAATACGTCGTTGCAAATGTCACCCGGGAGGGCGACAAAGGCTCTTTCGCCTCTTCTCGCGCGCCGAGAACCCGGGGCTAGACCTGAGATATTAACGCTGGAGAAATTTGATCGACTAATCCTCCGACATACGAACGAACGAACGAACGAACGAACGAACGAACGAACGAACGAACGAACGAACGAACGAACGAACGAACGAGCAAGTGCAACAGATGCGGAAGAGGTACTTGTGGTACCCGGGGATTTTCACGGGAGTGTGGAATGAAATTGAACACATCGGCTGTAGTCTCTCTTGTTGCTTTATTTCTACAAATTAGCGTACATCGCACTTATAAATTACGGCTCAGTGCTCGCTTTTGAACGTGCAGGACTACGCCGAGACGTTAGTCTGATGCTCTATCGATCCTCGTAGTGTGATGAATAAATATCTAAGTACAAAAGCGCAGCGCTCTCTCCCCCTCTCCCTCCCTCCCTCTCTCTCTCTCTCTCTCTCTTTCTCTCTTTCCCCCTCTCTATCGACATAGCAACTATCAAGTGTTAATAATGTATAATATAAAACGCGATCTACGTGTTTTAACATAGGGCTACCTGTAAGCTCGTGTACATTACCGAACGCTCGATGTCAGGCTGATCCTCGATACACCGATTGTCCCCGACGCGTCGGTCGATCCGATCCAGGCAAGATCCTCGTAAACGAAAGACGGTTTCTCGACGAGTTTCGACAATTTCAAGCGTCACGTGTCGTCGGTCTCTTTCTTCGCGTCAAAAGCTCCCTCGGAGGCGCGATCGTCGCCGGGATTTCAACGACGCAACGTCCGCGAGTCCCGAAATACTTGGAGACCGTACAACGCGCGAATCGCCTGGCACATTTGTTGCCACCCTCGATCGTGTTTCAGCGGTTTATTTGAACGAGACGTGAGCGTGAGCGCTCACGAGCGCAGCGAGCCGACCGATCGACGGTTTAAAGCGTCCGCGCGCCTCAACGTCTCGCACGCGTCTCGCACGTACATATATATATATATATATATATATGTATTATTATTATTACGTGTGGAACGCGCCGGGGCACCGTGTATATCGAGCGGCGTGTTTGTTTGGCCTGAAATTCTGCGCTTTGGAATGGCCGGCTGTCATGGAATGATGTCATGGTGAGTAGCGGCGGCCGCGCCTCGTCCACATAGTAGAGACCCTCAGACCGGAGAATGGCCAATCCGTCGTTCCGTCAGTCGAGTGAAATTTCCATAAGATATTTCTTTCTTAAATTGAAGGCGACCAAACGTTCGACGAGACGACGTGACGTCCGAGTGACGTCTCGATCAACACGGCCAACTCTTTGCACCGATCCGCCGCTTGTTAATGAAGAACGCGCGGCGAGGATTTTAATGCCTTGTTGGAATCGTCGTGATTCAAGCGATGATCCGCGCGCGGAAGAACAGTCTGATACTTTATTAGTCGTGAAACGAAATTCTCCACACTGGGCTCTGCGAGACTCTGGCCTCGAGGATCTCTGCTAGAACCGATCCGCTCGGACCAGCGCGCCGCCGACCTTTCGCTTTCCTCGCTCGAGTCGGACGAGGAAAGACACTTGCGACGAGGGAATTTGGTTTATGTTTCCGGGATATATTCACGATAATACATAAACGCTACATTATGCTCTCTGCGCTCTCGTCGCTCTGAAAAATGCGCGATTCGACGCGACAAACTCCTTCTTATTTGGCCTCTTTCGATCACCCTTAAGAAGACGGTCCACGAGAGCCCGCGTGGCCAATCGTCGCGGTACTCGCAATCAGAGTTAGCGCAGTTAGAGCGATAAGATTCTAGCTTTGGTCGCAAATTTCCGGAGGAAACGACTCTGACCACTGCAAAGTGGTCACATTTATACCGGTAAGCTCGATCTCTCCCTAACTGCCGGTTGTTGCCAACTATTCGCTTAGTTAACTGATAGTCAAAGTCAGTTAACTTACCAAGAGGTTGGAACAACCGGCCCTGAGTCTCTTTCTCGTCCCCCCCCCCCCTCGCCCTTCTATCTATCCTCCTTTCGATTCACTTCCCAAATCGCCGCGGGACATTGGAGATGACGCTGGATTTGGATTTTTAGCGAATTTGGTATTCGTTCCCTGGTCTCGGATGTTGAAATCCGCGCTCCGCGGACGAAATAACGAGCCTGTCTCGCGTCGGTCTACATGTAATTCGGCCACGTCTCGATGCCGGGCACGTAGCGGTGATACTGCGCGTAGGGTGTGGACACGTGCGAATGTGCCATCTGCGTGGTCGCGTGCGAGTGGTGCGCGTTATGAGCGGCGGATATATACTGGACCGGTGGAAGAGGGGGCTGCAGTTCGTGGTACCTCACCATCTCCTGCGTCCTGTCGTCCCAGGACACCTCCGCTACCGCCTGTTCCGAGCAATGGCGCTTCATCGGTCTCTCCATCTCCACCTCCTCGTATCTGCAAACGGACCCGGAAAGTAGCCCGGGGTCTCGTAAATCGCGAAAGAGGAACGCAAGCGTTGAAGCGGACCGCCGGCATTTGCATTTACGGGGAATACGCGCTTTTCTCTCGTAGCGCAGTCTCTCTCGCGAAATGATTCTTTCCGGATTATATTGGGTTGGCAACTAAGTGATCGCGGATTTTGTCGACAGATGGATTTTACACTTTCTTTTGTTTCGTTAACGTGTTCAAAGTACCTAACCTATATTTTTTTCTTATTGTTTGGACTTCTACCTTTCATTTAGTACAAAAATTATATCGATTAGTTCTTTAGTTTTGTTTTTATCCCAATTTAAAAATGAAAGAGCAAGACGTGCACCTGAGACATATTTTATTGTATTATTTCCGAAAAGGCAAGAACGCATCGCAAGCACACAAGAAGTTATGTGCCGTATATGGGAGTGAAGCCTTGAAAGAAAGGCAGTGTCAAAATTGGTTTGCCAGATTTCGTTCTGGTGATTTTTCATTGAAAAATGCTCAACGATCTGGCCGTCCAGTTGAAGTCGATGAGACCCATATCAAGGCCATTATCGATTCAGATCGTCATAGCACAACACGTGATATTGCAGAGAAGCTCAATGTATCGCATACATGCATTGAAAAAAATTTTAAAAAGCAAATTTAAAATTTTGAATTTTCATTCTTATTTAAAATCCGCAATCACTTAGTTGCCAACCCAATACGACGCGTCTGTGCCGCGCTTGTGCTTGCGCTGTTTCTCTCGCCTCGAGCGTTTGCGAAACGACACAAAACGGAGTCTCACCTGTTGAGTAACCATTGCGACGCGGTGGTGACCTGCACGGGCGGGTACTGGTGTATCGGCGCGGTCTGCGGCGGTAGGTACTGGTCGAGTTCGTTGCTCTCGACCTCGCACTCCTGAAAATTCACCGGTATATTCAGACCGAGGCCGCCGCCCAAGCTGCCGAGACCGTTTTCCTCGCCGGGCAGGCCGTCGCCGACCTCGATGTATCGAAGATCGACGGCCGGCTGCTGGTGCGGTGATTCGCTCGATGGCGTGCTCACCAAATCCTGATAGTACACGCTGTTGTTCTGCTGAAGCTGATTGTTCTGCGCATCAAGCATTTTCATGTCGCGTGACGTCGGCAATTGGCCGGTAATGAGAGAGTAAGCGGGGGGGGGGTAGGGAGGGGACGTCTTATCCGTCGCGCATGAAAGGGTTATTACCTTGGACCGATCAAGCTAATTATCGACCGTATAACCGATAAAGAGAGGACGCTTCATATCGCTCATCTTGTAGTCTCTACCGCTCTTCCGCGCATATTCGAACACACGTGATACCTGATTGACGTAGTGTTGCCCTCTCGGGGTTGTAGGTGGCGTCGGTGGTGAGAGACCCTGACTGGGGGTCGTAGGTGGCGAGGAGCTCACGCCGCTCTGCGGCGAATTAGGCCCTTGCGCGCCCCTGGGACTCATGTCCTCCTGCTTCAAGGATCTCGACACGCTGAACGTCACGTTGCTCTGATTTCGCGAGGGTGAGCTCTCCCGACCGGAAGGCCCGTTCTGTTTCCGGCGGCGGGGTTGATACTTGTAATCGGGATGCTCGCGTTTGTGGATCACGCGCAGGCGGTCGGCCTCCTCGATGAAGGGCTTCTTGTCGTTGTCGGAAAGGAGCCTGCAACCGGCCGCGTAATCAAAATTGTTAATTACTACCTGCGCACCGAACGCGGACGTTACATTGGGTGGATCCAACCAGGGGAATTGTTTCTCGCGACGTCCAGCCGTGAAAAATCGACGTCTCTCTTATGAGATTTATCAGGAAATGGGAGACTCCGAGCAGAGGAGAACGCACGAAACTCTTTTTTGCGGCGGTCCATCGAGATCGACTACCTCTCTCGATCGAGCTGCGCTCGCAGGTGCGCGAGAAGGGAACGTGAACCTGCCGCGACTCATTAGGTCGACTCGCAGGCCCCACTTGAAACTCGAGGCGTCACTCTCGAGAGGGAACACGTTTTCACGGCTTCGTGTCCCGATAAATCCGTAGGGCAATTTTCACGTAGTCGTAAAATCTGTCGTCGTGCCAACGTGATTCACGTTTCTCTCGCGTGCACGCATACTTGTGGACGTGCGCGCGCCCGTAGCGCGCACTCGGCCTCTCTCGCTGCTCGGCATCAGAAGAGGCTCGAACGAGAGAGCTCGAGCCGTTTCCATCGGCGTCTGATACTCTCGAGGACCCGAAATGGGAGTCGTCTGGTTAGTGTTTCTGGACGCGCTAAGTCCCGCCGTGCCGACTCGGCTCGGCTCGGCTCGGCTCGACGTGCGACTCGCGGTGCGTTATGGTCCTTAATGCTCTGTGTTTATATTCCCACTGGGCTCGTAAAGCCCGCTGCCGCGATAAGGTTTTCCGGTGTAACAGCGCGTCCGAGAGATCTCGAGGATTTCCGTCATATTACGCCGCCGATGATTTATATCGTCCACCGCGACATTCACATTCCTCGCCCTTACAGGCGTGTCGTTAATTTTTTTATTAATTTTTTTCTTTTTCCTCAAGAGGACCTGTGGGTCTCTCTTATCTTTCAGTTACCGATATTGCTCTTCGACCGCGTAACGCAGCCGATTGATATCACTCTTGCGTGAAACTTGCAAGAGGAACATTCTTGTCACGCTTCTAGAACCCTTTGAAGAAGTCCCTGATCCGTCACCCGGAGTATTCGCAAACTCGGCATTTAAATCCCACGACACGGAGCACTAAGCTCTCGAACTGCGTTTGTGACGCACGTTGAAGACGCGTATCTCGAGCTTAACCGACCACGTTTTGCCCCTGACAGAAAGAGAAAGAGGGAGCGACGGGCAAAGGGAGTGAAAGAGAGATGAAAAGAGAAAACCCATCTGGTCAATGGACTCTGGCTATGAGCTTTTTTCCGCCGGTGGGTGCCGACGATAGCGAGAGAGAGAGAGAGAGAGAGAGAGAGAGAGAGAGAGAGAGAGAGAGAGAGCGCCGTCGCAGCCTCCCTTTTTCCTCGCCAGATGCAACGCAGGGTCGGCCAATTTAGGTCTGCCTGTTGCTGCATCTACGAGGTTACTCGCACATATCAAATTTTGTCTCGTAGGGGGTCCACAAAGTAGAAACGACATTTACACTGTCGAAGATCGCGCGACTTGATCGCGGTGTTGCGATTGATCACCATCACGCCTGTCACCTGTCAGCAACATCCAGCAGCGCGTCGAGAAAGCATCGTTTTCACTTTCTTCCGAGGCGTTTCTAAAATTCCGAATCAGACTGCGATCGTGGCAGCGATTAATGGCGCATTCAGCACAATATGTGCGTGTTCCGAAGTATCTCAACAACTTTTGCAACGCTCCGATCCCCGATGACACGGCGACGATGTGTTCATCTGCGCTCGAAGTCGACAGCGCGCTACCGCGTTCCTCGGAAAGGCCAGTCATAGGAAAGCCGGTCGCGCGGAGAAATCATTTCTTCCGGGAGATAAGGCGGATTTACCTGTTCTCGTCACGCGCTATTTGCGAGGAGGTCCGAGGAGCGGAAGGGCAGGTTCGGAACAATTCACCTGACGAGCACAAGGCGCTTATTGTGATCCCCGGGGGCCCTTTATCTATCCGGCAGGAACCGGCCGGCAGCTGCGAGCACGCGCCAAGGATGAACCGGAGGATATCTGTTTTCTTTTTGTCGACAAACAGCGTTTGGTATCCGCCGAATGGCGATGCGTTCCGAGACGATGTAGAGAACGAGGAGGGGAGGACAGAAGGAGAGAGAGAGAGAGAGAGAGAGAGAGAGAGAGAGAGAGAGAGAGAGAGAGAGAGAGAGAGAGAGAGAGAGAGAGAGAGAGAGAGCGAGAAAAAGATTTATTTCCAGGGGTTACACACCTGGCCTCTTATCGGGATTGACGTGAGACAAGTCGGCGTCAGAGTCCTCTCGTAAGGATTCGCGACGAGTCGCGACGACGGCCAACGACGGTATAAATAAGCGAACTTAAGCGACTCTGTGTTTGCTTAATTTTGCATTTTATTGCAGTTATTCCTCGCTGTCCCCCGTCATTGGAACTTCTTCTACCTTCCGTTCTTTTCGTCTCAGCCTTAAGTTTCTCGTCGGAAGAACACCACGGAGATAATCACGATTTATCTATAAAAACGTTTGCTTTGTATCCACTTGTCGCTTCACCGTAAACCATCTCGATCGGCACGAGTCCTCGTAATCACCACCGGTGAACTTGGCGTCTTATCAGGCTGATCAGGTTCGCGAAGCGAGTTCATCCATGTAGCAATCGCCCTAGTACTGTGTTCATTACCGAAGATGACTGTATCGTTTGTGCCTCCGATCAAGGTAGATCGAAACGTCGAAGCGGCGGCACAGACATCTCGATCGCTGCCGATTAATCGTGCAAATACGATTCTTTGCGCGCGCGATCGTAGACTCGAGTACGATTTGACTAGTTGATTCGCGAGTACGCGAAGAGCCTTGGCGAGCGCACTGACGAAATCTATCTGCCGCGCTCGGAGCAGAAAGTGTTAAGTGGCATTAGGTCCATACCAAAAGGTGCTAAATAATTACTTCTTAAGAGCCGAAACGCGCAGGTCAACGAATCCTGTCTCAAGGCCGCGACTGCCCTTTCTCCCGATTTAATAAACAACCGTGATTACGCTCGCTCGCGAGTTATTAGCGATTGTTCGTCCTCCGACGAATCAATTACCACACACATTTATTAATCGTCAATTCGCTGAGCAACCAAGCGAGAACTTTTGTCCATACGAGTCTCTCCAGAAAAGAATGGGATATCGAAATCGAGAGGACACGTGTGTGTGTGTGTGTGTGTGTGTGTGTGTGTGGTTGACAGTTTGACTAATGTTTTACATGACACTTGTGGTTGCTCCATGTCCAGACCAATTGAGTGTCTGCACCCTAACGTCCGACATTTTCTTGCATCTGGATGCGTTTATCATTAACTGAAAATTAACTCAGTCAGTGCGATAGAATTTTGTTTAGCGTGCCCACGAGAAATAATTATATAATAATTATGTCTTGCGATTGGCCCTGGAATGTGTCGCTTCGTTTAATCGTTTTACTACAACGTCTAGTCACGGATGAGACGAAGTCTCTGAGAAAAATGTTGAGTGAAAGCAACAATCTATATTACAAATACTAGCCAAAGAATAAAAAACAAAGTATAAGACTCAACGACTAACGATAGAAACGATAGAAACGGAAAACTCGAGCAAAATATTTTCAGAATTTTTCTTCTTTATCCGAGATTATACGTAGACTCGAACGCGACTCGAATAAAAAACATAAATATTCGACTTGGTCGACTCGCGATAATAATGAATTATTAGTCCGCTAATAATCTCCGTTACACCTCCGTTCAAAGGAATCGACCATCGGGGGGCTTTCGGTTTTACTAAGCAGTTTTATCATTTTATTTTTTCGACGAAAGCTCCGCCGTGACAATCGTACGGATATCGATTGTCGATCTTTAACGTGCGATCGCGATCGCGATCGCGATCGGCTCGGTATTATTAAATGATTCGCGACGGGGTTCCTTGTCGGCACGTCCTCTGATGATCGTTTATATGGCCCACTGGGGCACCTCGTTAGTCCCAACCAGGAAGCGGAATCGTCCACGAGTCATTCCGAGGCCTGCGTATACAGGATGTATCAAAAGCCGCGTGCTTTCTGTTAAAACCGAGTCATGTCATGGGATACCGGCGCGTTTCAACCGATAAAATTCACCGATAAAATCGTGTCACGAAGGCCACCGAGACGTTAAAATAAATAAGATAAATGTTTGTTCGATTAAATCTGCGAATTTAATTGAACACGACTCGACGAGAGCGATTGAATTAAAAAAGAAAAAAGAAAAGAAACAAAATTAGAGAGAGACTTTGCAGGATACACGTGGGAAATGGCTTCGGTAGGAAATTACGACGACGTGAGGAACGCCGAGAGAAATTGTAGCTGGTTATAAAAGAGTGCCGACGTCACGCAACTTGCGCTCCCCGTTACACATACGACGGTCCGAGAGAGTTGACGGGTCTCGAGAGAAGCAGGAACACTTGTACCACGTGCAGCTTAAGCGCCACGTGGTACGAGCGTGTTTAATGTACGTGCCGCTGCCTCCACGAGTGAAGTAAAAGAGCTAGGAGTTTTCGCGAATTTGCGCGTAAAAATAGAACGGATCGCGCAGGAACAAGTGGTCGCGAGAATTGGAACGCGCGGCGGCGATGGCGGCGACGGCGGCGGGGAGCTCAGCCGGAGCTTCTCGCGCGGCCTTCGTCAGCCGCTCGTTACACTCGACCAACGCTGCGGCTCTCTCAAGGTTCTGCCCATCTTTTCTCAATCGCGAGGACCATTCGGCGAGTTTTCTCTTGGTTTCGATCAATCGCCAGCACGCGTAATCGCCAGCGAGAGCGCTCCCGACTAAAATTGCACCCTCTCTCGTCCCGCCGCGCGCGACGTCCCAGCGTGCGCGAGCTCAAGCGACGCCGCAGGATCGCCGATAAGCGCACAGGTGGCGTCGAATCAGCGGCAGCTGAGACGATCAACGGATTTTTTAGCGACTCGTACGATCCGATTTCCTCCGAATGCGGCGAGCGCGCAGCGAGATCAGCGAGCGCGATTCTTTCACATGGCTGGTCGCCGCCTGGCGGCGAGCTCGGCTGCGTCTGTGAGAATCGGGCTTATCAGATCGAGAGCGCAGAGGCATCCGATTGAAGACACGTGGTGCCGATTAATTTTATCGGAACAGTGTCTTTCCGCTGGCCGGGGCCCGTTGCCGGCCGAACGTTACCCGCCGGCTGAACGCGCGTACGACACCGAGTCTTTTTATCGCGGTTTCTTCGATTGCGGACAGGGTAAACGCAAACGCGACAAAAAAATGTAGAATTTCGAGTCGACGTCGAATTTTAACGCGTCGCGCTAATGAGACACGATACAACGGAGAAAAACACTCGTCGACTCGCATAATCGACTACTGTTGACTCTTTTCTTTTTTTTTTTTTTTTTTACCGTTTCTTCAATTGCCGACGCGACAAAGGAAAGAGACTATGGTACTTGCCGCCACAGTTTGCCCAGCGTCTTCGACAGCTCGGCGTTGTGCAGCTGGGGATATTGATCGGCCAGTTTTCGCCTCGCAGCTTGGGCCCACACCATAAACGCGTTCATGGGCCTCTTCACGTGGGCCGCTCTTTTGTCGCCGGAACCCCTGCAATTCGAAGACATTATCTTCATTGGAAACGATATCTCTCTACACATTCACGCGAACGTGATTGCGCGCGGCCGGCACGAAATGTTCGATGCACTTTCCGACGAGGAGCAGCATGTGTGATTTATCGTCGACGACGGGATTACGAGATCACCCGGTAAGAATAAAAGCGGATTTTGACAGAGGGATGAGCTCTCTCTCTCTCTCTCTCTCTCTTCCCCTCCCTCTTTCTGTCTCTGTCTCTCCCATCGACTATTTCGACGACGGATAATCTGGTGACTTGCAGAAGAAAATAACCAGAGGCGACGGCACGTATATATACATATATACATGCGCGCGCGCGCGAGCGCGCGCACACACACACACACACACACACATGCACATATACGTATACATCCGTATCGGGTCTCGCCGCGACTACCCCCGTAGGTCATCCTGGCGAGCGCGCGGAGCGTTTAAAACCGGCCTTAAAATAACACCGTGGCTGCCGACGTGTGACGGGTAGGAATGGACGTATCCCTTTCTTTCCGAGAAGATGACTTCATAAAACTTTTGCCCCGTCCAGCCCGGGGATCGACGTGACTGACGTGATTGCCACGCCAGCGATCCGCCCTCCCTGTTTTTCTTTTTACCCTTAATCGAGGATTCTTTAAGGACTCTGCGTCGGCCGAGCGCCGGCACATACGGCACGCGAGATTATTGTTGTTCATCGAAAACTCTCTCTGACGGATACAGAGAGAATGAAGGAGAGAGACAGACAGAGAGAGAGAGAGAGAGAGAGAGAGAGAGAGAGGGAGGGAGAGAGAGAGAGAGAGAGAGAGAGGGGGAGAGAGAGAGAGAGAGAGAGAGAGAGAGAGAGAGAGAGAGTGTCCGCTTATTGCGCCTGTCCCGCGCGCAGGAGGCGAGACCGGAAGCCGAGGATATAACACGGCAGCAGCTTGTAACAGGATCTATGAAGGCTCGATCGCGCGGGGCGCCGAGATTACACGGGGATAAGCGTGGCGAACGCGCGTGTAACGCGGGTGAAAAGGAGCTCCGCGCTCGCGCGCGCGCGCGCGCGTCTCAAGGATTCGAAAGCGGTCCCGTATATTTCGGCCTCTTTGAAATGAGAGGGGCGTTAAATCCGTGTGTAAACCCGCGGAGCCGTTGGTAATTAGCGTGGGCCCACTAACGAGGGTTTTCACGGCGCTCCTCCGTGGCACCACACGACGCGTCACGACGCGCGCCTCGCTTTACCTCAATACAGGCAAAAAACTCGTCTCACGCGTGCGTCTCACACGTTCGCGATGTGTGGACGTGGTGTTCGGTGTGTAAAGTGCAACGGCGACGCGTTGGCCAACGGCGAGACACATCGACAGGGAGAAGTTTCGGCCCGATCGCGCAAAACTGACAGACTGGCCGATATACAGCGCGATCTAGCGCTCTATCATTAATTTAATACGATAATTAATTTAATACGACACGATGTCACGCTACCGATCGTTCTTCTACGAATATATCTGCGGAAAAAGAAGTCACTTCCCACGGAGTAACACGGAATAACCCGCGCGGTTTGCTTTATTTCTTACGCTCGGCATCTCGCTCATTTCTTCATTGTTCAATCCTACTTATCGCTGACGAATTAAAACAGTCGAATTGGCGACAGTCGGGGCGATTAAGCAGATAGGCAATATTCTGTTTCTCTCTCACGAGGGGATCCATGGGAATTAAAGAGCGCTCGATTTTATCGGCTCCTATCGCCAGGAATAAACACCGCACCCTGCAGCCACCCCGAGATAACCCCGTAATTGAGGGTTAGCGATAAGCGCGTAACGATACGCTTCGTGATTTCCGTCGCTCTCTTTTTCTCCCCCCCTCTCTCTCTCTCTCTCTCTCTCTTCTCTATCATCTAGCCGCGCACATACCTAGTACAATCATCACTCCGCGTCGTTTCGTTCGACTTTTCCGACGTCTTATCGACGATCGCGCGGCTTCTTCCGGAAATTCTTTCTACGCATCCATTAACGTCGCAGCCGCGCGATGAAATAATTGTCAATCACTGATCTCTCTCATAGGCCGAATGAATAGATGAACGCGAATAAGCACGACGATAAAGTACGGTCGAATCGCGTCTACTAATTTATGTATTCCCGAATACGAATCGTCCTCCGACTCGCATGAATTTCGTGTAACGTAACAACGTTTATCGATAGATCGTAAGCACTTGGACAAGAATTTCGACTTCTCTTCAACCTCACGATCTTAATCTCCCAATGAAAATTTGCATTCTCTTCGGTAGAAGAGCGGGAAGAAATATTTCGCTAACACAATAAGAAATATTCGCTCGTCGCGGGCTATTAAATAAGAAATATGAAATCACAACGCCGACACCCATCACGTAGCTTCAGGGCGTCGTTGCACAATTTTCCGCGAATCGAGGTCACGCTCGATTTTATCAAGTTCACCGCGATCTAATGATTTTTTTCACAGCGGAGCGTCGTGACGCATCCGCGAGGAGTTGTCCTACGTGCGATCGCTTCTTTCCGCGATTATCGCGGAAAGAGGCTGGGTTTTTTTCCTTCCTTCCCGACTGTGTGTGTGTGTGTGTGTGTGTGTGTGTGTTATCGGCTATTTTAAGGTCGTCTCGCTTCCCACGATCCACGGATCGAGCAACACGAGACGGTCGAGCGTAACGCGGCGATCGGGCATTAATTAGCCAATTTGCGTTAATTGGCGACCGAGGACATTTTTCCGCGAGGCGCGTTTCCCAGGCCGAGGAAACGAGTGCGTCATAATTGAGTTAGCGTTACGTATTTTTAAGACTGCGCCACGCTTCCTCGCCCTCTTCTTCCCTCCGCCGTCGACTCTTCGCGTCGCGTCCCTCTTTCTTCCCTCCCTCCTCTCTCCCTCCTTTCTGCCGCGCCTTTTTTCTCTTTTCTTTTTTGTTTTTTCCTCTTTTTCTTCGACACATACAGTCGCAGCCGCGGTGTTAAACCTGCGAAACTTAAGTTCGCAGTCACATGAGCGCACGTGAGATACGTGTGTGTTAACGCGCATCACTGATTACCGAAAACACTGATCGCGAAAACACCGACGTTCGAGAATTGAACAAATCACAAAAAGAAATATCAATTCCAAAGTATCTTTCTTTCGGACCAGTTCAGTCGGAGCAATTTCGGAATGAATAAGCGTGATTTATTTAGACTACTTTTTATTCATCGTACAAGATGGTGACTTTTACGTTAACATCGGTCGCATCGGATGTCTCGTCGATTTATTCACATTTCTCGTGATGGAGAATTTCCCTCTTTCCGCTATCTCCCTTTCCTCAATTACACGAAGTAAACCAAATACGTCGAGAGATCGTCGAGCGGCGGAGCGAGATGGCCGAAATTTCGCGACAAAATCTGCCCGAGGACATGAGCGATTCAAGTCGAAGAAGAAGCTGCATTCTCCTCGAACAGAATACTTACTTGGTGGCGACGGGTACCAGGGTCCAGTCGTAACCCTGGAGGACCTTAGCGACGGCTGCGCTGATACCCTCGCCGCCATTGGCGGTCCCCGCCGCGGCGGCCGTTCCCGACGCTTTCCCGCTGCCATTGACGTTATTGTTGTTGTTATTGTTGTTGTTGTTGTTGTTGTTGTTGTTATTATTGTTGTTACTGTTTCCGCCCACGGGCGAGATCGACGCGCCAGAGCTCTCCGGCGTAACGTCGTTCATCTTCATCCCCTTCTCGCACGTCCCTCCGCGAACAAGGAGCACCGCAAGGGTCGCGCACGCGATCGATCCTGCCTGCCGATTTATCGCGCGCAGGACGCGCCGGACGCGCTCATCCCGTCTCAGCCGCGAGCGAGTAGCCGTCGACCGGCCGCTAAAGTCGTCGTCGTCGGCGGCTTTGCCTTGTCTTCACTTCATGATCGCGGCTTCATGAGCGCGTTACTTTCCACGTCCCGCGACGTTTTCCACTCGGCCGACGGCCGACGAAGAGGAGCAGCGGAACCTGGGGAGGTTCCCTCCCGTCGTCGGTCTTTACTCCCGGCTTCCCGCCCTTTCGAAAGTCCGGCAGCCAACTCCAACTTCCAACTGTCGACACTTTGGCGTCTAATTAATTTCGCTCGCGATCAGACGCGACGCGTATATTATCGCATGCCTGCTTGCGCTCGCGCTCGCGCGCGCGCAAGCGAGCGAGCGAGCGAGCGAGCGCGCGTTCCCGCGGCAACGCGAGTCTCGCTGCTATCTGCGTCGCCTCCGTCTTTTTGCTCGTCTCACCAGCTTCAATTCTTATCTCGTCGCCGTTTCTCTTTGTGTCTCGCAAAGTTCGCTCTTCTCCGCGGCGGACGAAAGCGAAGAGGCCGCGATTGCTTCACCTATCCTCTTCGCGTATCTTGGTGAATGTCACCGATGTCTTCGAGCGTGGAATATTCGAATGGGATACGATCGTTTCTTATTATCCTCCTCCTCTTATTCGGCACGCGTTCTCCTCAAAAGTACAATGTTGCATCCGCGTCAGCTGTTGTCAGCCGTGGCACGTTGTGACATTCCGACCGGTCATATCGGAGCAGAGAGGCGCGTCTTCGAGCGTCCTGGATTCTCCAGCGTTGACCTCGCTTAGCGCGTTTTTACTTCAAACGACATCGAGTCCTTCACGCGCAGGACCATCGACTTTGCGGGAGGCTGCCAGGTATCTCGTATCAGCATCGAGTGATCCTTCGCTTCCGCTGCGGATCGTCCGTCGAAACAGACTGCCGCTGATAGCTGATACCGAGGTATCGACCGTTCCCGGCTGGTCGAGGATACCGGAATTCCTCGCGGCCGGGACGATCCTTCCACAATTCACGTTTGTCACCGCGCGTTCGGTACCTGCCGAGAACACCGGTTCGCCGGAGGGTGGTTGCCGCTTGATGTGAGACCGGCAACGCGACCAGCCAACGAAAATACCATCCACAAGTCACGTTTGCAGGTTTGCAGGTAAAAGCCGGCCGACGACGATTCTCGAAGATGGAACGCGAAGCAGTCGGGAATTTGCGTTCACTTGCGGCAAAACTCGCGCCGAGGTCGAGGGTTCGTGGCTCGTTGCGCGATCGGCGCTCGAGTGAGGTGGTTGTATCGCCTCAGGGCGCAGTTTCCACCACGAGGTAGCCACGTCTTCGGCTCGATCGAGGGCGGAGCAAAGGCAGAGCTGGTAACACTTGTTGCTCCATGCAGCACGTCTCGGCAACCGGGAGGGAGACACGCCAAGTTAGTGGTGGCGGTGGAAGCGAGACGAGGAGGAGAGGCGCGAGCTCGCGCTTCGCGTATCTGGCGCGGTCGCTCGCAGACTCTGGGACTCGCGTACGAGGATCGCGGCCAAATAAGGCGGCGCACCCACCGAGTCGCTACATTTCTCGTCTCGCCTCGTATTGTACGCCTCGCCGTTGGATAAGCGAGATTGTCGCTTTTGCGACAATAATGACGATAATGACAATGGCCCCCGAAGTTGGTCTTCGGTCTGCTATCAAATGCGGCAAATCAACCGCGGCCATCAGAGCTCTGCCTGCAGTTCTGGAGAGTATTCGGAGTCCAGCGACTCCAGCGACTAATCTTGCATCGTTGCCAAGGGTGGTTTTAGCCGACGGCTACCAATTGGACGATACCGAAGGGATGATGCGGCCTGCGACCTGCGGGGTTCCGCAGGTCTTTTGGACGCTGATCAGCGACGAGAGGCTGACCACAATAATATTGCGATCTCTCCGCTTCTCCGAGAGAGATTATCCTCTCCCTCTCTCCGACACTTGGCTCTCCTGCCCCTCACCCTTCTCCCTCCCCCCTCCCTCCCAACCCCTCCCCCCTCTCCCCCCCCGAGCGTTTATATTTAGGTGCTCTCGCCGCTCTTTACCGGCAAGAGAGTTTCCATGGCTACGATATCCTGAGGATGAGGAGGACCAATCGGGTTCCCGCTTGCTCCACCTATCTCTCGCCTCGTTTCTCTCTCCTTCGAGACCGAGAGAGCCCGTCTCTCCCACGTAGCTCTTGGCCGTTCCTGCGCCCGTGGTCTCTCTTCCTCTCTATTCCTCCTACGCAGTTCCGTCCATTGGTCCGTGGGTCGGCTGCAATTATGACGTCAAGAGGAGGAGAATACGGCCGCTGCGTCAAGACCGGTTGCACCCATGCTTGCACGTTGCACTCGTCGACCGGCCTGCGCGCCGACCGGACATTAGCGCGATATCGCTCGACGAAGGTGTCGGAAGCTGCGGTATGAGAACGCGACTAGTTCGTCTCTCTCTCTCTCTCTCTCTCTCTCTCTCTCACTTGTAAGATCTGTATATTCGACGCTTAAGGTGCATCCTGTAGAGATCCTGTAGATCTTGAGTTTCTTTTTTGCTTTCGTTAAGGGTCGTTAGATTTAACGGAAAAAAAGGCATTAGGACAAATCGAACGAGTGCATTGTTGCTAAATATCTAATTATGATATCTCTGCGATAATCTTTAGCTTTAATAGGAAATCACTGTGTTTCATTGTCAGTCATTGTTAGCGAAAGCTTTTGATCACAGTAAATATATTCATTCGCATGCTTCTCGATAGCTGAAATAGAGCAAGTTTGAACACTCAAAAATACCATCACTCGTAATTGTTGGATCGAAGTTAGGTCCCGAAAAGTGCAGCTTGATTTTCAGCCTTCTTCGTCGGCCAAATGGCCACCTTTTGCGAATGCTGCCAGAGAGTCGGCGAAGAATAGATAGACGGTGATTGCTTGGTTCATGAATATGTTTCCATTACATGCAATTTGACTCGGAAAGGCGCTCGAGTTGAGTCCTTTGACTTTCTCTCTCTCCCTCTCTCTCTCTCTCTCTCTCTCTCTCTCTCTCTCTCTCTGGCTCAGCGTTTAACATGAATTTGCCGTAGGCAAATTTAATTCAATTAATTTTAATAGTAATTTTTCGTCGGTCGTTTAAACGTGCACGTCGTGTCCCTTGATCGTTCATTTAGTTTTATTACTTGTATTCGCAGAGAACACGTTGCGCGTATAAATTATGATATCTCTCGGATTAAAGGAAGAAGATAATTTTCTTTATTACTTCTCGGAACGGTATGACGAGGGTGCCTCCTTTAGATTTGTCAATTGCACGTTAAACTCCCATCTGCATACGCGAACGCGCATAAATCTTGACGTGTGCGAGAGTACGTGTGTGCTGAAGCAACTGTCTCTGGAACGCAGCGCGCGAGTCATTAATCAAGTCGGCTGTAATTAACGATTTCGTAAGCTTCAGCCGGAGCGGGAAGCCAGAGCGAATTAATTAGAAAGCAATAGAAATCAACTTGATTTCACAATGAAATATTAAGTATAATCGCCGTGACGAGAAAGATCCGTAGATAAGGAAAACGAGACTGCGCGCCCATCGCGCTCGACGTAGACGCAAAGCGCGCGTATTTTCTTACGAATGTGTTTTCTATTTATTTCAAACGTTTCATCGCTTGATTTTTCCTTTATTCCTCCTCATTATACCTCGCTCTTTTTTGATCCCGCGTCAGTCGCGATCCTTGACCTGCGGAACACCTTGAACGGTATCCTCGATTCGTAAGTCATCGTAATACTTAAAAACTGAGCCACTGAAAAACACGTTCCGGAACGCATTCCAAATGACGCTGACCGACGACGGTGGTGGTGGTGGTTGACTCGATACGATGGCATATCTCCTTCCCTCTCTCTCTCTCTCTCTCTCTCTCTCTCGTCTCCTCGTAAAATCCAAGTGCGTCGAACGCGTCTCCGTGTAAACGATGGAAAAAATGATAATTAATTACTGTTCAGACTGAAAAGTAACTGATGTCGAAAGCAATTATCTAATCGCGCCGAAGCGCCGGTTCGAGCGACGAAATCGCTCGTAGGTGTATCACAGTCAATGCGTCAATTATAATCGCTAGCCCGTGCTAGCGGGCTAACGGGCTCTCCGCGCGACGGTGTCGCGCAGACGGTTTAATCGCGATTCGAGAAACCGAGTGGACATACGTGCATGCCGACACGCGTACTCGTATACACGTGTAGCTATCGGCCTCACGTACTACGCAATGACGTAGCCGAGGCCGACGATGACGGCGCAGAATGTGTCGAAGCCCGCGTCTCCGTTGGGGGTCCGAGCGAGTCGCGGTGCTCGCCACCCGGGGGGCTACATGTGTCGGGTACCCGGCTTGACCGCCCCCGTCCCTCGGTCTCGGGATCCTTTCAAGTGCCCGACGACGGCACGCCGCCGACCCCCAGGAATTGCTGGAATTATTATTTTATCGCGGCGACCCGCACGATAGTCGTTCTCGCTCAATATCCTTCGATCCGCTAGAATCCAATCGACCCGTTCAAGGTGATCTTCTCGCCGCATGTGAAGTCGTAAAAGCCCAATCTATTTGTCGTTATGTTTATTAGTCAACATCATCATCATCATCATCATCATCATCATCATCTTATTATCGTCTCACTCGAGGACTAACATTTAGCGCTGTCGGTTGGATTTTTCTCTTCGCCGATGAAGAGACGCGAGTGCGAATCGGGTGCGCTTACGTTTCTTCGGGAGAGACCAGCGAGCTGCGCCTGCGGCGGAACGGCCCTGAAACGAATTCGCGCTTACGTACACGGAGAATGAAAGGCGCATATTGACGCCACGTGCGCCCGCCCGGGATGTTTATCCCGGGAAGAGCGAAATTCCGGTTTCGTGAAATCAATATTATTGTTCCCGTCGGGCTAAATTTGCATGGCCGACGCGCGCCGCGCGGCGCATAATGCAACCGCAACGCGCGCGCCAGACACTCGCGGAGAAGTCGCGAATGAACGCGCGACTTCTATATCGGATGAAGGACGAGAATCGGCTAGCGAGCGCGCTATCGATTCTTCTCCTTCGTTCCTCTCCGGGACGGCTTCATTTTCCGTTCGAGTCGAGACGAGAGGCGAATTTCGAGCACGCGCCTAGCACGCGCGCGTGTTCGGACGCGAAAATCTCGGCGTCGGCGCGTAATCTTTAATCCGTGAAACTGCTCCGCGCGACGAGGGTCACGCACTCGCGTGCTGCTCGTTTACTTGTTGCTCCGACAGCCGCGAGTTAATCCTGCAAAGTGCGAGCGAGATGCTCTCTTTGATCTCTCTCGCAAAAGCCGCCACACGGCATTGACCGTGGTTTATATATGCCCATGTATGAGCCACTGTATTTGCTAGCTCAGTCATTCATTAAATTCGTTGTATAATTAGGCTCGAGACGGGACGACGGGCCCGAAGAAGGAGGGAACGACTTCTTCGGGACTCAACGCTCTCTCTCTCTCTCTCTCTCTCTCTCTCTCTCTCTCTCTCTCTCTCTCCGTCCTCCCTCCCGAAAGATCACTCTGCTCTATTTTGTCGCGCACTTTTCGCGAGCTCTCTTCTTTTTCGCATTCCGACCGCGACAGCGAACGTGCGTCCTCGTGCATATCCACCGCAACGTTTACACGTAAGAATTCATACAGATCGAAGTAAAGAACGACGCGCGACGCGAGTATATTTTCGGGAGAAGATCCCGCGAGACTTGTTTCTCGCGACTTGTTTTTCTCATCTCGGCGAGAATGAATTCCCCCGCTATTCACCGTTTTCAGTCACTTCGTCACTTCAGCAATAACTTTCCCTCGTGAAACGTTAACTCCTCCTGCTTAAGTCGCCCCGAGAAAATAAGCAACGTCTGAAACCGCTCCCCTCTTCAAAGCGCTGTTAATTGTTCTACATTCGCTAAATCCGCTAATGACACGCGATTTGTACAAGGCGGTATTCCGAGGCAATTTGGTCGCGACTACCGCCGGTCTCGCGAGGGTGTCGCGCGTGATCGGTCGATCGACGGGCGAGATAGTCTTAATTAATAGATTCTCGCCGTTTTGCGCGACGCATTTGTATTCGAGACACGGCGCGCGGCGGGATGCTAATGCCGAGTCAAACACGAGGATGCGCACACACGGTGCTTATTGTGCGCTCCGGACTTCACTACCTGAGGTCCCTTCCACGCGCTGTAAGGACGAGTGTGTCAGTGATCACACACTGATGAAACCTGCACGACACACACTCACGAAAATGCAAAGGATGTTCAAAATATGCTCGTAAGATTAAAGGATGATTAGAGGGTCATTAGATTCATCAAGTAATATCTTCTTGGTATCTAAAAGTTTTGTGTGTGTGTGTGTGTGTGTGTTCTCAATCGTTGCAGGTAGCTTTTAGATTTTCGCGTCGAAAGCCATGAAGATCGAAGTGGTCTCTCTGAGCGACTTTACAGCATACTTTCGAGTTTCATAGCTTGCCATTCGAGAAAACCTGGATGAATCGGCTGATGCAAGGACGTGGTGAAGACAAGATCGATGTAAGGGGTGCAACGATGGAGGGAGAAAAATAGAAAGAGAGAGAGAGAGAGAGAGAGGAAGAGAAAGGATGCAAAGGAAGAAGAGGAGGAGGAGGAAGAAGAAGACGAAGAAGAAGACGAAGAAGAAGACGAAGAAGAAGAAGAAGAAGAAGAAGAAAGGAGGAAGATCCTAACGTATCTCCCCACCAGAGGTAGGTGGTCCACGGAACCGCCTCCGCGGATGGTCTGCCATCCGTCCGTCCGTCCGATGGTTTCGTGCGTGTGCCAGGCAAGACGACGAGACGCACGTTCGTCTCCTCGCCTCAGCCTCTTCCACCCGACGGTGGACCAACCTGTACGGCCGTGCCGCGCGCGCGGTTCCATCGTCGCGTCTCTCCTCCTGACCGATCAGTCGGCCATCGGAGTTTACCTGATCCGCCAGTGCCAGTGTCGCGTCGCGTCGATTAAGTCTCGTCTCGTCTCGTCTCGTCTCCTCGACTTCCCTTGATGACGCGAAACAAATCAGATAAGAGCGAAACACGGCGGTGCGCGCGGTTCGTTCTCGATGGCCGATAAGCTCGCAGAAGAAGTTGTAATCGGCGGACTAGACGACTCCGCGAGAGAGATTTTAATTATGACGCTAGTCGACGATCTCTTCGAGGATTTCGCCGAGATCGGCCAAGTCGGGCTTATCTTCGTCCAATTTGGTGCGCCTAAGTAGCGCACCGCGTACCGATCGACATAGAGTCGTTTTGCAAAGAGCAACGACGTAAGAGCGGCATCCTCGAGAACAGATCGACTGTTAGTTTTCCGAAGATTCGCAGCAGTTCTTCACGGCGCGTTACATCGTCGTGTCGATTCCTGTTCAATATTTCCCGGAATCGATAACGCCCGAGTGAATGAATCCGAGTGATCTACGAGTTCGCGACTACGAGGAATCAACTTAATATCGCGATATAATCTGCGGACAAGGTCGCACGAAATCGGTCTCTCCGAAGAAGATTCCACGACCTGTGCGACCCGATGAATCGCGCCTCGATAACCCACCATTAATTATTTCTCTCTTCCTCTCTTCCCCTCCACTGCCCTCTCTTTCTCTAACCATTCTCTCGCTCTTTTTTCCTGTGCGAAGAAGATCCTTTATTGCGAAAGGCTCGTATGTGACAAACCCACGAGAAATGCGTTTCGTCTTCCCTTGAAATTCGCTGCTCGATTTATCGTAAATTATTTGAGTGATATCTGATGTTTGTATGTGAAAAGTATGATCTCTCGCGAGTTCATAGAAACGCGTCTCGTTGATATCTATGAGAAATATACTTTTTGATGCGCGTGTGAGTTTCGATTGTTCGATCAGTGAGATAAAAATGGAGGCGCATCACAATAATAACGGCTTGTCGTCCATGGAAGGTAAAGCCGGCCCGTCGAGCAACGAGCACTGCAGCAACAGTTCCCTGGATGACGCTGTGGGCAAGTTACTGCAAGGTATGTATGTGCACATATATGTATATTTATAACATATAAATTATAACAGATAATATATAAATAACTAAATAGTAAATAAAAGCGAGCGTCTCAAAATTAGCGCCAGATATAGCGCACCCCCTTGGATCCCCTTGGATTAAAATCAATGTTTCTTCTCTTCAATTTAACGTTCTTCAAATTATTCGCAAATATTTAAACGTCAAATTTATACCCGAAAGAGTAGACTTTTATTTCAGTCTAGTTTGAGATTCGTTTGAACATAACGACCTTAGTATCAATTTCCCCGCACGCTCTTCGTCCCTGGCAAGATATAAAATGATAAAACATTTCATATTTTGAAAACATAAAAACAGTCCGCGTCGCACTCGCGAGACACAGCGCGCGCGTGCTTCGCGACAATAGCCGCCGTTGAAATCCTTTTAAAATCCTCTGGAGAAACGCATTCGCCGGCGAAAAAAGAATGCCGATCCCCCGAAATAGCGCGCACGGTACGTCCGTCGCTTCTCTCTCTCTCTCTCTCTCTCTCTCTCTCTCTCTCTCTCTCTCTCTCTCTCTCTCTCTCTCCCTCTCTCCCGTCGACTCTTCCCGTCGTCTTTATCGGGTCGTTCGGAGGGAAGGCAGACTGTAATTGGCGCTGAAAGGCCGTGTCGTCGGATACCGCTCTTCACCATTTGGCCGGCCCGCAAATTTATTCGGACGATATTCGCGAGAGTAGAAAGCGGCAAGGGGGTAGACTCGGAGAAGCGGCAGACAGAGAGCAGTGAAGTAGAGGGAGAGACACGGAGGCAGAGTCGGAGATGAGGCGGAGAAATATAGCCGAAGATCGCTCCTCACGAGAAGACGATTCCGGGGAAGATTCGAGCGTGGCAGGTGCTGCGAACCGAGCGAGACCGGCGCAGCGAACGCGCGTCTGCCACCGCCGCTAATTATGCCGCGGTACCGAATTAAATCTGAAAGATCTCGCGCGCAGGACCGGACATGATTTACGAGGCACGTCGGGACTTAGTACTCGCGAAATTTCGCCAGAGATGCGTCGTCGACATCGTCGTCGACGTCGTCGTCGCCGACGACGACGACGACGACGACGTAGTCGAGAGGACGTGCCGGCAGGCAGGTAGAAATCACCGACTACGATATCTTCGCGAGACACTAATTTTATCCAAGCGGACCACAGTTAGACCACGGCAACAATCGCGACTAATCACGAGGATTAATGAGGTCTGGTCGATGCAGTGGATTAGAGGGAAGAGAGTCACGCTCGGATATATGTCGCTCTTTCGTCGAATCAAGTGAGCCGAGGAGGAGAGACGCGAGATGCACGAAATTATTAGCATTTCCTGTTAAATTGCTTTTACTCTATATATATATATATATATATATATATATATATATATATATAAAATTACTTTCCTAATAATTGAAACGTCCAGTTCGTTTTTCTTTTGAAAAGTCTCATGAGCAAATTCTCGCCTTCGGAGAAAGAGAAAATATTTTCTTTTGCTCCTATTAATTTACTATGAATTTCAATAATCGTCGATTTCGACACCATCTATTTGCGAATCTAATTATGAGTCGAGACTAGGATCTAATCTCTCCAAGAGTGCTCAGCTATATAAAGTGTAACGTATTGTATAAAATACATAATAGTCCGAAAAGAATGACAGGAACATCAACCGCAGGAATGTATAATTAGTCGATCGCACGGTTTTAGGGGGAAAGATAAATCTGCGTTGCGTTTAAATATTTGATCCAGCGGTGCTGATCGATGCGCTTCTCGTTACATAGCACTCCGCTTGACAACAATACAGGTGATCCTTGATACAATGGCAAATATTTACCGTCGTCCATGAATGTGTGCGCTGCGTGTTGCTTTAACGTAGGAAATATCATAATCAACGGGATGATGAATAACGTGCCGACACGTGCGCACTTTGCGTCGCGTAGGATTTGTAGTTAATGCGAACATTCCACCTGGTGGATCCTCGCGGATAGGTATAGCGCGTCAATCGAACCGATAACGAACCTGCCGGCAGTGTATCGCGAGGGAGTCGTCGCGGCGGGTTGAAAATCGTGGAGCACGTGGCGACGAGTGTGTAACGTCAAACATCGACGGGACGAGGTGTCGAAGCGTTTAAGAGGGTCTCGTTAAGAGGGGATTTGTAACAGGCGGATTTGTAAAGGAGTTAATGTAGCAAGAGTCGACGACAGGTCACCATTGACGGTCGGCATGGCCGAGCACACCGGTTCATTCACCAGGATGCACAATCCGCCTATTGTAGGTCGACGGACGCGCAAACTGCGGCCCTGATCTCCACTCAAAAGCCGTTTACATCCTGGAAAAGTGCGGCGATTTCTCGGTCTTACTGGTGCGGCGCGTGTCGCCGATTCACCGATTCACCCGAGTCGTTGCGTCGTCGTAATTAGTCAAATCGAAACGGCGAGAGACGGGAGGAGAATCTAAAATTAAGCGCCACTTGGCGCGAGCCCTCTCTCTCTCTCTCTCTCTCTCTCTGTCTCTCTCTCTCTCTCGATTCCGCGATCAGAATTTACGATTTAATCGCGCCACGATTTAATCTGCGTCTGACGCCAAAGAGACCGATTGATTCTCGGATAACGAGTGTATCAATGTTACTCCTAGGTAAAGCTTGTGATTAATATCGCCTTGCTGCTTCGGAGGTATTAACATAACAACGTTGTTTTTCACTTCCACTCTGCTCGAGAGAGTACTCCGCGTTCTGCGCTTCTACTATACTAGTCTGCGATTAAATATCCGACATTTCTACGAGTCTACAAACGCGTGTGCGTGTTATGAGTTGATATGAGATGACACGAAATGGATTTATCTTATCGACACAAAAGCCAATTTCAATAAACGCAAGAGAATTTCTTTTCTGCGTCAAGTTGTCGCAAAGAGGGTGACGGGCTGAGCAAATAATTCTCTGTACGTGCAGCTTTCGTAACCAAAAGAGTTCGCTTTCCTCGTCGGGCCTCAAAGAAGGCCGACCTCGCCGCGTCTTTCTCTCTCTCTCTCTCTCTCTCTCTCTCTCTCTCTCTCTCTTTCTTTCCAACCGATGCTTTTCGCACGCCTCATCGACCGCATAGGGCCCTGTCGCCCTGCCGGCAGGTTCGCGCGAAATTCCTTCTATTCCTGTCGCGTTCTCCGCAAGTCCTTCCGCGTTTCCGTGTAAAATATATTTCGGCAGCTATCGACCGAGGCAGGCGTCGACCAAGGACCTCCCCCGGATGACTAAAGACGCCGACACAAGTGCCGCGCCGTTGGAGCGTGTACCCACGGTAATTAGCTCCCACCAGCGGTTCGGAGTCTTCGGGGTGACGCTTCGCCACGTGGTCTCGCCCGCTCCCTCCGTGGCAGCGACTCGCTCTCCACTGATCAACGGCGATTAGAGACAGGCTCTTAGGGACGCTTTCGCACGATATTCCCCCGGAAGGATTCCTTCGAAAGCGATCGCGCACGATCGCAACGATCGTGCTTCGGAGTGAAACTCTAGACGATATTCGACCAACTCCCGACCAGACGAGTCCAGGCAATCTCCGATTTTTCCTATTAATCTGTCTGTATTTCGAAGTCTCTCGTGCCCCTCCTGCCGCTTTGGACCAGTCGCTCGGGCTGGGGGATCGAGACGAGAGGAGAAACCGCGGTGGGAGAGCAGGACAGATTTACATAAGTCGGTGTACGTTTGTTCGAAGGGCGAGACGAGGTTTTATGACCCCAACTTGCTCGACGCTCGTTTCCCACGAAGTGAAATGTAGGAACACATCCGGAGCCCTGAATCCTTATTAAGCGTCCCCGAGATTTCGGGCAATCCGGAGCCCTTCGTATCGTTTCGGCCGCGCTACCGCAGGAGAGGAAACCGGGGAGATACTCCCGGATGGTCTTCGTAGGAATGACACGCGTGCATTTGCTCGTCGCTGCGGCAACAATCTTCCGAGGAAGATGAAGTTTTTCTTCAACTCGCCCGAATTGACTCGCATAATAAAAGCCGATGGCTCCAGCTGGTCATTCGCGCGCGAGAAGAAATGACTGTCAAGAGAGGGGGAGAACGCGAGAGCGGTAATAAGCGCGAACGATGAGGACCACCGACAAGCGATAAAGACCACCGTGTTCGGCCGGAGTCCTCTCTCTCTCTCTCTATTTCCTTCCTCTTCTACATATGTACGATCTCCAAGTCGTAAAGTTCCTATCGCATTCGTGGCAAAGTTAAATAAGAGGGAAGACGTGGAAAGAGGAGAAAAACCGGCGGCGGGCGCCACGAATTCGTCTCGACCGCATCGCGACCGCACGAGCCGCGAGCGAGGATACAGGTGTAGCTTTATCTCGTCCTATTCCTTTACGATCCGATTCCGCGATAAGACTACTTCCGGCACTCGCGCGAAGTCCTACGGGAAGATAAGTGAGAATTGCGCTGTCACGCGTTCGCAACGTCCCGAGCAGAACAGAAAATCATGATGACATGAAAATGACATCAAAACGACGAGGTAAATGAGCGAGTCATGATGAAAAACTGAGTTTTTCTCATCATTTTGATGTCATCATGATTTTATCTTCTGCCTGGGCTACGCTTCGTGCTACTTGGGAGCTCTCGAGCCGGCTCCGGTCGCAAATGTTGGCCCCCTCTCCATATCGAAGCGTCGTGAAAAAAGTATTGTAGTGTGTGAGTATGTAAAAGATAATAACGACCTATATATACACGATATTACCAAATTCCGCTAATTGGCAAGCCGCAGAAAAATCACTCGGAACTTTCGCTCGTTGTACTCGCAGGATACGACTGGACGCTACTTCCGGTGACTTCGCGCGCCGGAGGCCGAAGAAGTGCTCACGTGAAACGTCCCATGAATGCCTTCATGGTATGGGCGCAAGCGGCAAGGAGAAGATTGGCCGACCAGTATCCGCAGTTGCACAACGCCGAGTTGTCGAAGACGCTAGGAAAGTTATGGAGGTGAGCAGGCTCTTGTGCGTCGGCGTCTGCGTTGAAATTAGTGCTCCCGAGAGCGGCGGCCGGTCGTTACTTGAAACGTCGCGGCGCAATTTGACACTCGAACCTTATTATCCCCGATATTACGATATTACGATCACGGTATTCACGCGATTTATCTGCAAACAGGATCTTGAGCGACGGCGAGAAGCAGCCGTTTATCGAGGAAGCAGAGAGACTGCGGAATGCGCACAAGAAGCAACATCCGCACTACAAGGTAACTAAATTGACTAACCAACTAGCGAGAACCGAGCGCGCATAAAGAGCTCGTTGCCTTTCCTGAAAATTGCCAATTCTCGGTCTCCCGCCGCGAGTGCAACATCTTCACATCTCGCCCATCTCGCGTCTCTTCGTCATCGTGTCGTCGTCGTCGTCGTCGTCGTCGTCGCTGCCGCCGCCGCCACGTTTGACTTTCGCTCGCTCGCGTAAAGCGGCGACACGGATGGCTTGATCGCGGGGAATTCATTTCCCCTTCTCGTAAATCATCGGCAGCCCTCGCGCGCACGCAGCGGTGGGGCTTAAATCGCGCGATCGGCCCTCGATTAACCACTCGAGCGCTCGGAGCGAACGCGTATTGCACGCGCTAATTCGTTCCGCTATCCCGAATCGGTCCGCTCGATCTTGCTCTCAGCGCGATTTCGCAACGCGCGAAACGCTCCGCGCGCGTATTTTTAATGATGCATGATTACTTTGTCCTCCTCGTCTTCGCGGTGAGCGCGCGACGCACGGGCGCCGTTTACTGCGGCGATTACAGCCCGCGACACCTTGAAGATGTCTCTTTTATTCCGAGGAGTAAAATCGTCAAAATCGATGAGGACGACGTTTCATGTTCTCGCGCGAACGATGTCAAGTTGACATTTGGCTCTAAATAATTGCAGCATATGGACAATAACAAAAGGTGCAAAAGAGATTTGTCCTTTACTGCAAACAAATTCTAGCTTTCTACGAAAATTACTGACTCGAGTGTTAAAGAAGAAAAAGTATCAAAAAGAAACAAAAGGAGATCAGGTTGGGAGGAGACATGGACAGATATCGGCGTCGACGCTGATGTTTAGTTAATTCGTAAGCATGATTATTCTCGAAAATTGTGGACTCACTGGTTTTTAATCTTTCATTCAACAAAACGACATCTTTCTGGCAGCCGGTGGATAATGGTTTCCTCAATTTTACGCCGCTAACGAATGTTTCCCATATTGTTCGTAGTATCAACCGCGCCGAAGGAAACCCAAGCCGGATGACCAGATGGGCATTATCGTGCACAGAGGTGGACTATCTTCGCCAGGTACCTCTCTCGACTCACCCGGCACCGGTCCGGACTGCACGAGCTATGGCCGGCTGTATCCGGATGCCGGTGTGAAAGCGTACGAGCGAGCAGCTTACGGACACGAGCCCAAGTCCACCTACGACCACCTGGCCCGGCCAGGTATCTGGGTGAACGAGACGGCCAAGTACCCAGCTGATCACCCCAACAAGCCGACGGCGTACGACGCAACGGCGAAGAGCTACGCCGAAGCCAAGTGTCACGAGGTCGCCAAGTACCACCACGAAATGACCAATAGCAAGTACCACGAGATGACCGCCGGCGGCACCAAGTATCCAGAACTGCAGGCCAAGAGTTACGAGCTGCCCAAGTATCCGGAGACCAAGGGATACTCCACGGAGATGAGTAGCGCCGCCGCCAAAGCGCCGTATGCCTGCGTGCACGGCCAGTATTACCCGGCAGCTGAGGGATACGCCGTGCACGAGGAGAACGACTACCAGGCGCAGAGCGTTTCGTCGCACTCCTTTTACCCTTACATATCCGCGTCGATGGCGCAACCGCCGTACTACATGGGGCCTCGATAAGTCGCGCTCGCTCGTCCCGACGACTCCTCGTGGTGTAGGCAGCAACCCGTCGACAGTTTACTGAAGTAACCCGTGAAGTAATTCGGGCAATAGTGGGTGATATGTCTATGACAAACTCGATAGATCGTTTAGGCTCTGTGAGGTAAAGCATACTATATCCGATATACGCTTTGTGCTATAATGTTCTCTCTCTCTCTCTCTCTCTCTCTCTCTCTCTCTCTCTCTCTCTCTCTCTCTCTCTCTCTCTTTCCTTTCCATTCTCTTTCTCTTTCTCTTTCTACTTCACTGTTTCACTGTTTTCTTTTCTTCTTTTTTTATTTATTCTTCTCTGTAAACGCTATAACAATATTAATAAATTATAATAAATAATATAATAATTATCTAGACACTTGAGGTATATTCTTGTGACTCGATATTAATGCTCACTCAGGCAGTTCGATTACCTGATGTTACGAAAAATGACGAAAAGTAAGAGAGCTCAACGTAAAATGTAGCATTGAGAATTGTGCATTACTTTGTCATGAGAAATTCTTAATAAACTAGTACGAGACCTTGTTCCCAATCGGATTATAACGCAGAAGAAACATACGATCACCACATACGATTGCTGCACACACAAGCTGCTTGTTGCATATAATTATAAAAAAAGGAGAAGAGGGAAAAAGATTTCATACCCGCTAAAAATCTAACATTAGCACACCTATCGAGTCTAATATCACATTGGTCGAAATATCGAATAGCGCATAGCGTTGATTGAACTGGTAACCTAGTTGAAAATTGTCGTGCTAAGATGATCTCTCGTGATTATACTTTCCCTTGATTATAATTTCCCTGTGAGCTGCGATTGATGACAGCTGCCAACTCCTTCACTTGATCTCGATTCGCGTGCATGAACGCCTTGGCGGACCAGATCATGTGCACTAGGGTCTTGTCGTTCTTCTCGTCCATGTCGATCTCCGTCGACAGTTGCGGATTGAATCTGTAGTACGGGACGCCGATCATGGAGCACCAGCCTCTGGCACGATCCACCACTCGACCGTCGCTGGCGGTCGCTTGGTCGACTAGCAAGGTGCCGAGCGCTGAGATGCCAATGGCGAGCTTCGCGGTGCCCCAGAGGCCTTCCGGGCGAAAAACGTCAATCTCATTGAAAGCGTACGTCGTGCGAGTGCATCCTGTGCCGAGGGAGACCACCAGCGTCAGCGGCACCACCTCCTGAGGCCGACCGATAGCTTTCAGCGCCAAATTGTATTCGTGTATTTCCGTCATGGCATCCAGAGTGGGATTATTCGCGATCAAGCCACCGTCCAGGAATCTACCGAACGCTCGGAAGTACGACGGCGCAGCACCGGTGGCCCTCGCTGCCTTCCACAAGAGCTGCTCTTCCGGCAATAACGTGCGCTTAAACATTGCATTCTCCGCCACCAGCAGCAGAGAGCTAGGCGACTCGTAATTACGAAACAGATGGAGATCCACGGGCTTCCTGTCGGCGAGCACGGCCGTAATCATGATCTTTGGCCTCACGATGTCCGCCATGACGGTTTCCGCGCCGAGGCACTCCTTCAGTATCTTTTCCAGACCCTCGCTGTTGTACGGACGCGAGCCCACGAAGACGTCTTCCTTGATGCGGAAATAGAGCGCCTGGCATTCGCGCAGGGACTTACCGGCGGCGAGACCGAGCGCGAGGATCCCGCCGGTCGACGTACCGGCGATCCAGTCGAAACAATGCACCACTGGTCGTCCCACCACTGACTCGATCTCCAAGAGGCTCTGGATGAGCACCAGCCCGCGAATACCGCCACCGTCGAGGCACAGCAGTTTGCCGCCGTCAAGAGTTGTCCTATCCTGCTCGGTCATTTTATCCATGCTGGCAACGTGCAGCATCTGATCGATAACGGTGCGTGATACGTGGTGCGGCGGTTCCGATGGTGCGATGCCGGTGTAGGTCTCGTTATACTTGCAGCCGAGATGGCAGCCTGTCATCTCAGGTGGACACCGCTGCGCTCCCACTGCGTGCAGCAGGTAGATAATTTTGTTACCGTCGGTGTTGTCGATGTTGGCCTTGTGCAACGGCGTCTCAAACTTCCAATTGCGAGCGTTGAGGTCGGCGCCGAAGCCGATGAGCGCTTGCACGATTATCGAATCCTCAGCCAAGTGCAGCGGTGTATTGCCCTCCTTGTCGACAATGTTTACAGACGCCAAGTGGCTGAGCAGCGCGACCACGCATTCCAGTCGCTTGCGCATCACCATCACGTGCAACGCTGTACGCCCATCGAAGTTTAGCGCGTCGATGTCGCAATTGGTCTCGATCAGCGCGCGTATCACCTCGCGACTACGCGACCAATGCAACGGTGTGCCACCGAACTTCATGTCCTCCGAGTTGAGCACATTCGGCTTTTTGTGTAGGAAGTCGCCGACGTAGCCGGGGCTAGAAGGCTCGGCGCTCTCAGTAGCGGGTATGTTGACGTCAGCGCCGATTAGTAACAACGCCTTCACGCATTCTGGCTTGTCGTTGTGACAAGCCACGTGAATGGGAGTGTGACCACTGCTGTTACGACTGTTAAGACTGTTGGGTAGACCAGCTCCTAGAGCCAAAATGATATCTTTAGTGGATGTAGCTGCGTAATGGTAGACGGTGTTTGCATTGTGATCCAAATGCTCCAACGAACTCTTGGCTGCTATCAGCATCTGCACAGTGCGCAGATTATTGGTCTGCACAGCAACTTGCAGAGGTGAAATACCAGTCTCTAAATCGCCACTATTGAGATCGCTATTGACAATCTCGCATGAGAAGGCATCGTACAGCGCAAAGTGTGCCGCCAAGTGCGCCAACGTCCACATAGGATGCTCCATCAGAGTATCACAGAGCTTCTGTATCTTCGCAATACTGTACATCTTAGAAAATGATAAAATCGACATTAACAGTTACTTTATTCTGCTTTTCTCCTCCCTTTCCTTTCTTTCTTAAAATAATAGAAAATTACCTCTTGCACTATCTGTACAAGTAGTGGTACTTTATCCTTGTATGTCATGAATCTGTCCATTGTTGCTTCAAGAGACTCCGATCGAAACAAGCTGAGAGAAACAGTACGTTTAGGAATCAGTTTTGTTTTGAAAGTTGTGAAAGAAGAAATTATGCCAATAAGATGTACCTGTACGCCTGATGAAGGGTCTCTGTGCAAGGTCTGTGCAGCACAATCTCGTACTTTTGACTTCTGTCACCAGGTCCGTACAGTACGATGCCATCTTCGCGAGAATGGATATGTCGATTGCTATAATGCTCCGGTCGGACCTCCAGTACGACATTCGGCGGCGTGTCCGTGTAGACAATGTTACGAAGCACATTATTCGCTATTGCGCCTATCCAGGACATGTCAGTCGCAACGTCGAGAATTACGCTAAATTCCTCACAATCCTCACAATTTAACGAGACGGACACGGATCTCTACGGCATCAAAATATTACGAAAGTTTGCGTCACTCGTCGTACGACAAAGCGGCATGACAGCTCATCCGTGTTTTATATCACTCTTACGTACTATATCACTCGTACGTAACGTAATTCTACCAAATAGGGGAGGAGGCTTAACCTAATCTCATCGCGTTAACAGTGAAGTACATCGAAGTACCAAATGACTTGAACATAGAAACTTATGATACGTAGAACTGGCTGGCACGTAGAAACAGTTTTGCCAACCTCTGTATCTCTATGACACTTCTTTCAACATTCGAAACACAGTATCCAATAGAAAAATGTATCTTCTGAAAATCACTAAAACAAATTTTTCAAATGGATAGCAACAATGTTGCGAAATTCAGAAAAAAATGCCTCTATCATTTTTTCAGTCATGAAGAAAGTACAATATACGAACACATCTTTACACAAAAAAATGAAATTTGTCTCTCGCTTTACCCTCTATACTTTATAATTTAACGTCAAACTTCCCACGCAATACCGTTGCCTAGGCAACATAACAACAAACAAATGTAACCAATCTGATGTAGGATCAAACTGCAAAACTCTATGTGTTAACATATATTTGTGTATAAAGTACTTCTCACGTGTAACAAGATGCAGAGATAATTTTGTTTAAAGTAAAATTACAATCATACTTTCTCTTTTTAACAATTACAATGTAATTTTTCCCTACTTATTGATGTTATTCGTAAATATTCCTTAGCGTTGTATAATCCTTGAGAGTATGACAGGATGCCTTTGTTCTCTAATAAATTTTCTCCCAAAAAGACACCAACTAGGAAGGCATCGGTTTTCTTAGCGAATAAAAATGTAAGTCCTAAACGGATAGAGAAGGAACTTGGCCCAGAAGTAGGCCCTATACGTCTTCGACTTGGAGATCAAGAGGCTGTCTTTGAGTCTGGCCTCTGGATTCCAGGTGAATATGTAATTTTTTATCACAGGAACCTTGTATAAAGTCTTGTATTTTGCTTCAATATATGAAGAAAGAGAATTCTGGTTTTAGAATCTGGCAAAGTAGGCAGTACCTTTAAAGAAAATGAGAAACTGAAAAAGGAAGTGAAAAGATTGGAAGAGGAGAACAACTTGTTGAAATTGAAGTTTGATGTACTATTAGACATGGTAACTCATTCTGCACTTTGTTCTTAGAAAATATCTGATATCTAAATAATAATTTGTACTTGAGATAACTTTGTCAACTTGTTACAATTGTTAACAGAATAATATTTATGATAATACAGTTGATTATTGTTTCACAGTTAACTCAGACAACAGCCAAGATTCACTTACAAAAAGAAGAATTGGAGAAATTGAAGAATTTCTCTCATAAAAGACTTGTGGCCTAGTCCAATAAATATAATTATCTGTGCTTAGAAATCCAACAGTATTTATAAGATAATACCAATTTATTCAGGTACTTGTTTGAAAGATTGAATCTTTCTCGTTTGAAACTTTTTCTCATTTTGATATTAATGTTTTTCGTTTTTTTAAGAAAATCCAAGTCAAGTTTTAACAGATAAGGGCGTTGCTTCCTCTTGATATCACTTTTCTTCTTTACAAAGTAACAGTCAATCACACTATGAAACTGTACATTATTTACAACACTGTATCGAGGAAAATTGATTCATCAGTCCATTACATTTTCCGGACAAGTTGTTCTTGTATGACCTAGTGTAAAAAAACAATATGTACAGCTTGAATGAAAATAATAATAAAAAGAGGCAATATTATAAATAGAATTACATACAATGAAAAATTCATCTCTCGAAGAAAAGTTAATTGGCTGATTAGAAAATGTTATACTATTTACCTTCGACTCCGCAAATTCCACATTTTCTCTTGCTGCCAGTTAATCTAGGCCGTTTAGAAGCATGGCTGTCTCTACTTCCTCCTCTGCTACGTCCTCTGCTTCCTCCACTCATTGCAGAAAAACTGCTTTGATCCGTATTCTCGTCTGCCCATTGGAAGAAATTACAAGAGCTATTTATACCCTTTGGACAACCATAAAATTGTCGTCCCTTATTTGGACCCTCTTTGTGCACTGTAAGCCTAAATAAACATGTGCGGAAGTGAATCAATACACCTAAACTCGCAACAATGAAAAAAATGAAAGCGACTGCAATTACATAATGTTATGTTGAAAACTGCTCGTTGCGACTGATCAAAATAGCTATATATAGTCGCGTCTTGCTATAATTACTGTCATTATAATTTTTGCCTTGTCAAATAATTGAAAAATTAAGTCGAAGGATGCACCTACTTCCGAGCAGGTTGATTGCACTGGCATATGACATCGTTCGACGATGCATCACTTCCCCAACCGCTGTCAAAGGTGACGCGAGAAGAGTGACCGGTACTTGTCGCATCTCTGTCATTTCTATTCACACTGGTTAATCGACTGGAAGGTTCGCTCATTGTGTTAGCTTGAGACTCGTCACTGTCGGAGGCCCACAAGAAGAAATGGCAGCCGCTACCCTGTGGCTTGGCACACTTGTAAAATAGGCGTCCTGCGATCACAATGATATAAATGGATAAAAATGATATATACATGACGAAAGTTAATCGAAAATAATGCTCTAATTTTTATCGCTTTGACTATTTAAGATGAGTCGGATGATATCTCATATACAGAAGCACATCATACTTTCTTTCACGATGAAAAGTATATCAGAAGAGCTCCTTTGATTATAAATCTTACCTATATTCGGTCCTTCTTTTCTCACTGTCAATTGGATTGCAGTTTCGTGGCAATTACACATGATCACAGCATTATTGTCTATATTACCCCACGTTGTGGTCCTATTGGCTGTACTGTGAGAACTTCCGGACGCAGTCCAATTTGATGTATTTTCCAGACTATTTGCATTATCCCAGTCATCATTTATCCAGAAATCGGCGTTTCCTCCGTTATTAGGTATCGTCGTGTTTTTATTCGCTGTAATTAGCCTGTTTGATTTGGAATTGTGATTTCGCGCACGTCCTCTAGGTACACTAGAATTTCCAATATTATTAGTTTGACTTGGTCCAGGTCTTGGGTTGGAGAAGCTAGAGTTGGGAGCCGATTGATGTCGCTGAGTAGATCCGATTGTCGTAGCAAAACTTTGAGATGCAGAGCTTGATGTATTATTTTGGATGGTATGATTCGACCTTCCAGTTTGTCGGATGCAATCATTCTTAATGTTCAACATCTCATTAAATGTGGAGTCACAGCCTATGCAAGTAGTATAAGAAGTACCATATAAGGGCACTACATTCCTGACCAACTTGAACTTTAACTTGCGAATGTTCTCTGTACACTGGAAATGGATTGTATTTGTTTACGTCTGTATATGTTAAAAATTGTCATATAAACAAATAAAGAAATATATATAAAAATTGTCATATAAACAAATAAGAAATATATATATAATGTGTAATTGAGATGCGTCGTGATTAGAGATGTATCTACCTGATTGCACGTCTCGCTCAAGACTTCTACGTCTTCTATAGCTTCCGACAACCAGATTACATTAGTACACGCTGGATAACCCGCACAACTGATGTATTTTCCTCTGCCCTGCTTCCTATTCTTCAAAATCATGTTAGAGCCGCATCTTGGACATTTGAAGATACTAACGTCTTCGACGAATCGCGATAACGTTTCCCCATTCTCAATAGGTCTTTCGTCGAGGTAGCGTGCTAAGGCATCATCTATGAGATTAGCGCGCTCTATCGCTATTTTAAACACCTCGCGGTACTTGTTAATTTGGCTCTGTAATACCTCGTTTGGATCTTTTTGACGCTGGCATATTCTACAAGAATGATTTCAATTAATAAAAATAATAAAAGTACAACTGTATACGCATCACTTTTTGGAGATAATGCGATTAAAAACTGATATTATAAATATTATAATCACACATTAATATTAGCTATGAAGACAAAGCATTTAATCGACTCACAATTGCAAATCTTTCTCTAAATCGGCACGCAAGTTCGGCTTAGACATCTGGAAACCCATATTGTCGTAACCCATCACCAGTCCGATACCTAACTTGCCCGGCATGAAGTGTTGAGTGTCCGTCAGGCCTACGTATTGCCGGGATTTGATCGTATCGATATGTTCAGCATGAGTGGCGTCTGTACCAATACCATGTTTGTCCATCAACGCAATCAGCTCGGCTTCAGTTAACAAATTCGGCGGTGAGGTCTTCTCTTCCACCATGTCTATGCTAGTAGGCCTGAAGACCTGTCTCGGCTGATAAGAGTGAATCTCTTTGTCGTTCCACTTTTCGTATATATATACATCGAGATAATTCTTCGCCAAGACTTCAAGACCGTTGGTCGTGAACTTCTCTCCCGCTATATCGATCTCTACCGTTGTTTCTTGTCCCTCCGCGTTTTTTGACACACAAGCCAAGAAATGCCTAACGACGAATTCGTATACTTTCGCCTCGTTTCCTGTTAACAAGTTAATCGACTCACCTGCGATGTAACTCGGCTTTAACTTACAGAAACGGACAACGACAATTGTTGACATACCTTGTAGGTTATCGGTATATTTAGTAGGATGAATAGGGGGATGTGCCTGGTCGCTTTTCTTTCCTTGCCTGGGAATTATCCCAGACTCTAATAAACCGCGCGCAAAGTTGCCCCACGCTTGATTATTCACCTGCTGTTCCACTAAAGCAGCCAAATTCAATTCTTTCGGAAATATATTGGTCTCTGTACGCGGATAACTAATGAGACCCTGAGTGTACAATCTCTCTGCTATTCTCATCGTTTCTTTTGCGTTTAGACGCAACTTGCGCGAGCCTTGCTTTTCTAGTTCCTAATTCGAGAAATTTTAGGTCACTTAACATACAAAGAAACCTCGTATTTGCCAGTTTTATTACTCACAATGGTATCCAAGGGTAAGGGTCGCCATTTGCTCTTCGGCTTGCACGTTACTTTCTCCACTGTAGCCTCCGGTCGTTCCAAACACATGTCCAGAAATATCTGGCAGGGCATTTTCTCAAACAATCTCACTCTGGCCCATCTAAATTCTACGAATATTCCATCGTGTTCGTCGATCACTTTGATCTTCCAATATGGCTCAGACTTGAATCGATCAATGGCTAGGAACCTCTCAACTACAAATCCAAGAGTAGGGAATTGACAGCTCCCATAACTGATGAGCATATTGCTAAGAGTGTCAGGAAACACTTTCTGTAGTCTCAAAGTTTGAAATCTGGTGAACGCTGCACCTATCAACGCGCATATCGATCATACAGAAAGTTTGCATATTAGCAATTGATTGCAATCTCGATTGACAACATAAATCTTAGCTAATACAATCAATACCAATTCTTAAATCTAATTCGCTTCTTACGTCTACAGCATCACTCATTGCTTTATCAGGTTCTCCCAAGGTTTGTAAAGCTCTTTCAATGGACTGTTTTGTAATTTCTGAGAATTTCGCCCTAAAACACAAAACCATGATGTACTAAAAACATAGCAGATACTGTTAAACAAACCAAAGAGATTCATAATTTTATTACCTATAAATGCGAATATTCGGCTTGATTACTTGACAAACTTGTATGATTTCAAAGCCTATGTTCTCTCCTTCTCTATCGCAATCTGTCCAAATAATTAATGCATTACAGGATCGTATTTCTCGTTCCAGAGTCTTCTTGATCTTTATATAACTTTCATCAGAACATTGTTTGAAGACTGGAGCATCAAATAAGCTCAAGGGATGGCAACCTTGCCATTTACGATAGGACCCAGTAAATTCAAAGCCTAACAAATGACCAGACACTGATGTCATTATCATTTGACAATTTTGCCCCCACAGTTGCACATTAAATTCAAAGATTTTGTTATAGACAGATAAACCTTCTCTCTGTAACAAATAGTTAAATATTATTATAAGTAAAAATAATTATTATAAGTAAAAATATAGAATTGATTATTTGCAGATGTATGAATAATAGTTGCTTTCTTCAAATTTCTATCGTTATAAGACAAATATATATTATTGTTATAAGACAAATATATATTATCGTTATAAGACAAATATATATAAATATATTTTGTTTACCTTTCTGCTGGTACCACGCGATAAAAAGGCAGCAATATTTTTGGCAGCATCATGTTTTTCAGCAACACTGAGTACTTTCATGACGTCTTTCGAAGAATATCGTCTTACAGTACGAGGAACTTTTGTTGACTTATATAGATTGCTGAATGAGTATTTGTTACTTGCAACTGTCAAATTACACGATACAGAACTTACTAATTTATACAACTTAAAGAAAGCCATAACATGTTTCCTGGTTATCAACACTCGATTGGGAGATTATGATTTCATAGTAATAACATAATCTCTAAATGCTCCAGAGCGATAGTGATATGAGATTAATCATTAATTGTTAAATTAGAACATTGATACGTTATCGAAAGAGAAGAGAGAAAAGCCGATTCAGAATAAGTTGCAATAGAAACAAACTTGAGAGCGACTACCGAGCCAATTACACTAGGACGCTTTTTCCGCCAAATTCTGCCCTTCTTTCTTCCTTCAATAGATGGCTCTGGGTCTATGGAAGCAGAGAGGAAGCTGAGAGCGGCCAACACGGCGTTTTCGGCGACACCGATTTTTCGCACTGGGAATGGGCGCTATCTGCATCCATTTTGAGAGGGGAACTACGATGCTACATCCACTTTTAGGTCTCGACGGTAAAATCTGCATCTGATGGCTGTCCGTGCTACATCCACTTTCAGGCGGTTTATGTCCGTGCTACAACCATAATAGCGTACTTGACAAGCACGGTCTCGCGCATTGTTATGCATTTGTAACATGAATTAACATGTTAACATGCACAAAAAAAATAAGAATTGAGATTGTATATGATTAATATCATGAAGATTATATACGATTTATATCTATATATAAATATATGATAATAAGATAATATTTTGTGTGTACCCAAAATTATTTTTCTAAAATATTTCAGCGTTACGTTAGTATTTATTTATACTCCGGCAGGCGTTTTTTAGCGCAGTTGTGTCCGTGTGCATGTGTTGCATTGAAAGTGTGCGTGACGTACGTGTGCATATACGCACTCACACACACACACATACGTGTCATACGCAACAGATAGAATCTCAGGATATATGCTTAAACATTTTCAATTGCCGTACGTTTCTATGTAAGAATGTAGTCGGCACACACACACAGAGAAACTGCTCCCGTCTATCCGTCTGAAGTCCCGCCCACCGCTCGGCTTGCTTTGACGACCCAAGCGAAAGAGAGAGAGAGAAAGGGAATGTGTTCGCTCCATCTCGCTCTGATTCGCAACGTTGCCGAGATTGTGCTTCCCGACACACAGCCGAGACTGACGTTTCACTCTCGGCGTGAATCCAACGAGATGATCAATAGCAATCGATTTCGACTAAACTCGTTGTGTCGATAGATTTGCATGACAAATTAACATTGCACTTAAAGATACGGCGTAGCATTGAAGCGTTTGCAAGAAAGTCGCGATTGAAAATCGCGAGTACTTCATGAACCAAATGAAGGAACGAACTTCTCAAAGAACGTGTGGCTTGGTGGAAGTACGCTGGACTCGCGGGGTCGGTGGTTCGCATCTCCTTGGCGATCGGCGTTGTCCTTTTTCGCCAATCATTTTTTTTTTCGTTTTTTAGGAAAATGCACGTGTTGCATACAACATACGTGTATCACAATACATTTTTTTTCATTTTTTAAGAAAATGCACGTATTGCATACAACACACGGGCATCGCAAGCATTGCATGTTTCGTCGATGACACTTCCTCTGAGACCTCGTCCTCCGCTCGACTTGTTTCGACGAGTCAAGCAAAAGAGACACAGAGAATGTGTTCGTTCCATCACCTCTGTGAAGATGGCCCTTCATTCTTCAAATTTGAAAAGAATTATTAGTTCTGAACGCCCCTCGCAGAGTTCTAGAGTTCGCAATCCTTTATAGAAAGAGTTCCGTCATTTAAAGTAGAGAAAATACCATTTTAAAAATCGGAGGGCCAACTTCACGACGCCCCTCATTATGTAAAAAATGACAATTTTTTTTAGAGTTCCAGATAAATTTTTAAGTTCTATAGTTCTAGAAAAGTTTTAAAAATAGTTCTGTTTAAAACAATAAGAAAAATTATATTTAAAATTCTCGAATTAGAAAACGAAAAATGGCAAGAACTCTACCAATTTTGGTTTTAGCGCGTCGCGTGTTAATAATAATCTTTAGAATTCGTGATGGGCTAACCAGAACTCTGAATAAAACATCGGATTTTCAAAAAAATTGATTGTTTATTCACCACGTAAAATTTTTTTTCGGAAATCCGATGTTTCATTCAGAGTTCTGGTTAGCCCCTCACAAGTTCTGAAGATTATTATTCACACTCGGAACGCTAAAACCAAAATTGAAAGAGTTGTCGCCGATTTTTGTCCCTCGAGTCGAATATTTCCATGTCCCTCGGATCGAAAGATTTTTTCGGAAATCCGACGTTCCATTCAGAGTTCTGGTTAGCTCCTCACAAACTCTGAAGGTTATTATTAACACTCGGAGCGCTAAAACCAAAATTGAAAGAATTCTCGCCGATTTTCGTCCCAAGAGTCGAATATTTCAATGTCCCTCAGCTCGAAAATCGGCGAGAACTCTTTCAATTTTGGTTTTAGCGCTCCGAGTGTTAATAATAATCTTTAGAACTCGTGCGGGGCTAACCAGAACTCTGAATGAAACGTCGGATTTCCGAAAATAAATTTACTGAGTGAGATGGGAGTCGCAATTTATGGAAAAATGTAGCGTTTTTACAGTGAAATCCGGTGATCCGGTGGAAAATCGGTTGACCCATATTTGCCTATACACGTATAGGGAAAAATATTATTATATTATCATTATACATAGTACTATCTCGATGCACGAATCACTATAGCTCTCTTCCAGCAGTTGAACGTACATTATATTTACAACTATCGCCGCTACGTGGCGCCCGATGGCATTGGCATACTCAGAGTGGAATTAAAGAACTAGGAGAGGATAAAACGCGAACGTAGCAGTTGTAAAGCATCGCTTCTCGGCTCTCTGAGCTCAGATTACAGTTTTCCAACCTTTCTCCGTTGATATCTCCACTTCTACTGGGAGCAGAGAGTCGTCATTTACGGCAAAATGTAGGGTTTTGAGAGGACCTTAATTTGTGCCAGAAACAGGCCTGCATCTCTAAATGTTTAGGAGATATCGAAGGCTAAAGTTTTCCAACATTTCTCCGTTGATATCTCCACTTCTACTGCGAGCAGAGAGCCGTCATTTACGGCAAAATGTAGGGTTTTGAGAGGACTTCATTTTGATGCCAGAACCAGGCCTGTATCTCTAACCGTTTAGGAGATATCAAAGATTAAAGATTTCCAAAATTTCTCCGTTGATATCTCCGCTTCTACTGGGAGTAGAGAGTCGTCAATGTAGTTGAAAATGTAGGGTTTTGTGAGGACTTTAATTTGGTGCCAGAACCAGGCCTGTATCTCTAACCGTTTAGGAGATATCGAAGGTTAAAGTTTTCCAACCTTTCTGCGTTGATATCTCCGCTTCTACTGGGAGTAGAGAGTCGCCACTTACGGCAAAATGTAGGGTTTTGAGAGGGCTTTAATTTGGTGCCAGACCAGGCCTGTATCTCTAACCGTTTAGGAGATATCGAAGGTTAAAGTTTTCCAAGCTTTCTCCGTCGATATCTCCGCTTCTACTGGGAGTAGAGAGTCGTCACTTACGGCAAAATGTAGGGTTTTGAGAGGACTTTAATTTGGTGCCAGAACCAGGCCTGTATCTCTAACCGTTTAGGAGATATCGAAGGTTAAAGTTTTCCAAGCTTTCTCCCGTCGATATCTCCGCTTCTACTGGGAGTAGAGAGTCGTCCTTACCAAAATGTAGGGTTTTGAAGGCTTTAATTTGGTGCCAGACAGGCCTGTATCTCTAACCGTTTAGGAGATATCGAAGGTTAAAGTTTTCCAAGCTTTCTCCGTCGATATCTCCGCTTCTACTGGGAGTAGAGAGTCGTCCACTTACGGCAAAATGTAGGGTTTTGAGAGGACTTTAGGACTTTAATTTGGTGCCAGAACAGGCCTGTATCTCTAACCGTTTAGGAGATATCGAAGGTTAAAGTTTTCCAAGCTTTCTCCGTCGATATCTCCGCTTCTACTGGGAGTAGAGAGTCGTCACTTACGGCAAAATGTAGGGTTTTGAGAGGACTTTAATTTGTGCCGAACAGCCTGTATCTCTAAACCGTTTAGGAGATATCGAAGGTTAAAGTTTTCCAACCTTTCTCCGTCGATATCTCCGCTTCTACTGGGAGTAGAGAGTCGTCACTTAGGCAAAATGTAGGGTTTTGAGAGGACTTTAATTTGGTGCCAGACCCAGGCCTGTATCTCTAACCGTTTAGGAGATATCGAAGTTAAAGTTTTCCAAGCTTTCTCCCTTGATATCTCCGCTTCTACTGGGAGTAGAGAGTCGTCATTAGCCAAAATGTAGGGTTTTGAGAGGCTTTAATTTGGTTCCAGAACCAGGCCTGTATCTCTAACCGTTTAGGAGATATCGAAGGTTAAAGTTTTCCAACTTTCTCCGTGATATCTCCGCTTCTACTGGGAGTAGAGAGTCGTCATTAGGCAAAATCGTAGGGTTTTGAGAGGACTTTAATTTGGTGCCAGAACCAGGCTGTATCTCTAACCGTTTAGGAGATATCGAAGGTTAAAGTTTTCCAAGCTTTCTCCGTCGATATCTCCGCTTCTACTTGGGAGTAGAGAGTCGTCCATTAGCAAAATGTAGGGTTTTGAAAGGGCTTTAATTTGGTACCTGTCCGAAGCCTGTATCTCTAACCGTTTAGGAGATATCGAAGGTTAAAGTTTTCCAAGCTTTCTCCGTCGATATCTCCGCTTCTACTGGAGTAGAGAGTCGTCACTTACGGCAAAATGTAGGGTTTTGAGAGGACTTTAATTTGGTGCCAGAACCAGGCCTGTATCTCTAACCGTTTAGGAGATATCGAAGGTTAAAGTTTTCCAACCTTTCTCCGTCGATATCCATCTTCTCCGTCGATATTCCGCTTCTACTGGGAGTAGAGAGTCGTCCATGTAGTCCAAAATGTAGGGTTTTGAAAGGGCTTTAATTTGGTACCTGTCCGAAGCCTGTATCTCTAACCGTTTAGGAGATATCGAAGGTTAAAGTTTTCCAACTTTCTCCGTCGATATCTCCGCTTCTACTGGGAGTAGAGGTCGTCCATGTAGTGCAAAATGTAGGGTTTTGAAGGGCTTTAATTTGGTACCTGTCCGAAGCCTGTATCTCTAACCGTTTAGGAGATATCGAAGGTTAAAGTTTTCCAACCTTTCTCCGTCGATATCCAGTCTTCATCCGTCGATATCTCCGCTTCTACTGGGAGTAGAGAGTCGTCCATGTAGTCCAAAATGTAGGGTTTTTGAAGGGCTTTAATTTGGTACCTGTCCGAAGCCTGTATCTCCAACCGTTTAGGAGATATCGAAGGTTAAAGTT